GGAGGTTGGACTAGGTGACACCATAAGAGGTCCCCTAATTGGAGATATTCAATGATTCCGCAGGAAAATTCTCTAAAGGGTCTTTTGAGATGAATGAAGAAATGCACAAGAAACTATTTTTATATAATGATACCATCTTTATTCTATTAAACCCATCTCTTTGCCACATCCATCAAGTTGCCTCTCTTGAATCAGTGAGAAAATATTCCTAAAGTACTTAAGGAAAAGAGTTATTAGAATCTGGGATCAATATTTGAATAGGGAATTCCTAGACATTGATCAAAGTGCAGAATGAAGTTTAAGAAATAATCTAGACTTCATCTTGTGGTCAGTTCAAACAATAGGTGTCTGATTACTTGGTTTTTATTGTTTCTTTTTGAGAGCTCAAATTATGAAATGACAATTGACAATTTATGTCAACAAAGATAAAATTTGATAAATGGTCTCAAAAGGATGAAATGGTTTTTGGGTTTTTTGGTTTTCGTTTGGTTTTTTTTGTTTGTTTGTTTGGTTTTTAATCAAATTGTTTTCCCTTGGTCTCTTTTATATGTACATATATAAATGCATTAAAATAAAAATGCGCTGTAAAGGCCATGGTTAAATCAAATTTGGTTCTGAATTCACACCAGTCTGTGAGTAATAGATTTGATGCAACACTGTGGTGGATGGAGTCCTGAAGTCCTGAATCACTACAGGCTAATGGGAAATTCTCATGGATTTCAGTAAAACCAGCATTTCAGAAAATAATCTGTGTTCACTCTGGTAAGCCTGATCGACAGGTAATTGTAGGCTAAGAAATTAAGGGCATTATACACTCCAATATGTGCTGAAAAAATAAATACGTATCTCTCCAGTAGTAATTGGGACAGTGCCACAATTTTATAATATGTTGTTGAGAAGTATTGTGAACAACAAAATCTGTCAAGTGAGGATAGTATGGTGTTGTGATCTCAGTGTTGCCATATTGTGTCATCCTTAAAAGTGGTACCTGGCTATAAATACATTTCAGTAATGCCATAACAGAACAACACCTGGATGTGATTGTAAAGCCCAGTGATGAAAGGGGTTCTCTTTTACCCCAGACAAATCCAGGATTGCTCCAGTGAGGTTGCAGGGAAGGAGCGAGTTTGGAAGCCCTCCTTTAAATTTCTGGATCTCTGTCAGCTCCTATCCAAAACTTAACTTTTCTGTGTAAGAATGAGGTTGGGGAATTTTCCCAGCTAGGATTTGTATATACCTAGCATTATCAAGACTCTTCAAAATGGCACACAGCAACGTCACAGAAGCAGAAATTACTGCAGGTGCTGCCGTTGAGGGTACCAGCTGCTGTGTCAGAAGTGGTACTCAGAAGACTTTGAGGATATTCACACTAAATAAAGTTCCTAATTGTCTGCATGCATGTGCCAAAAAATCTAGGCTTAGTGAAAAAGCCTTATGATGCAAACTCCTTTTGGGTTATATGTTATAAATATTTGATTTTCTCATTTAGGAAGGAATAATGTGCTGTCAAATTTAATGAGGGCAAACAGAGCTCTGTAATAGTTGGTAAACTCTGTTTTAACAAGTAAAGTATTATCAGTCTTTGGCCAATTATGAGTGGGTTGCCTAAATTCTGGGTGGTAGTGTGGGTGAAGATGTATGATGGGTTGGGTGAAGAAGAGAGTTTTTGGGTCAAGGATATTCTAAGCACATACTATGTAATCTTTAACATCCATGAAGAAAAGGCATGACTTTACAGGCTGATCCAGCACCCCGTCAAGACAATCAGTAACGTCTGATTAATTTTTGGAAAAGGTATAAATTCCATTTTTAGCCTGATATGCATATGTATACTTGGCACAGTTTTTTTCCTTGGAACTCATTTAGGTTGAACTAGATGTGTAATTTAAAATTTGAGATTCCAGATTCCAATTGTTTTGAAACTTCTGGTTTTTTATGTCCTGATGTTAATTAACACTGTCAACTACATCTGTTAAGAGACACATTATTTTATCTGGTATAGATACAACAGAGTCAGCATAGAGTGTTACTTGGCATATGTGATGAACAGCATTCTTACTGATTTTTCGCTCTTCTGTTTCTTTTCTCTATACCCTCTTGCCTTCCTCTGCACAGATGCAGAAGACCCACATCAGAGACATTCTGGATAGAGAACAGAAGAAAATGTATTTTTCTGAATATGTTGCTCCTTAATTGTGCATTTGAAGAGTTTGTGGTTGTCTGATGCAAAACATTTCTTTTTCAAAGATTGACACTTTTATTTTAAACATTCTCTCCCTTGGTGGTGCAGGGCACAGGAAGCAAAGACTGAATGAATTATTTGACTGCTTAAATGATCCTCTAGCTCGGCATCCTTTGCACCTCATGTACTGTACTACAGTCAGAGCTAGGCAGTGGTTTTCATCTCCATAATGTTGCTGCTTCTTTTCTAAAAAGAGAATAAATTTGTATTTCGCACAAAGAACTCCCCAGTGGCACTCTCAGGAAATTATGGCAAGTATCCTTCTTTTGCAGCCTGAGCTGCTTGGCTTTGCTAAAGTTTATTGCATTATGATTTTAACATACTCACGTTGGAAATATGCAATCCAGTTAATTGAATAAGGGAGTAGGTGCTTTGCCTCAGGAAGGAAACTGCCTTAAGGTGTGGAATGAGAAGGTGTCAGTGGAAAAAACATTCTTGTCTGACCTGTAAGTGCCCGAGTTGCTAGTTAGGTGCTTCTTTCTTTTCTTTTTCCTTCCTTTCCTTCTTTTTCCTTCCAAATATTTTGGCATATTTCAAGCAGTAACCTGCTGAATTTCCAAGATAACCCTGAACTGGAATAACATGGTATCTGTGTCTTTGTTTTGACAGTGCTGATCAGGCTCTAGACAGATTTGCTATGAAGAAATTCTTTGATGATAAAGTTTCAGCTTTAATGCAGCCATCCCAAAGAAGGTATTTAATTTGTTTCTAATTCATACCAATAAATGTCATCGTTATCTTCTGCCCCCATCCCATACTCTCTCCTCCGCTGTGTGAAGGCTATTTCCACAAGATCCTCCAGTGATTCCTGAAATCTCAGCACTTTATCTTATATTAATATTCCTTGATTGGTGAGATCTCTCCTTCAGTTCCTGCATGTAGCCCAAGACAGATAAAACCTTTTGTACCACACTGTTATCTACATGTGTTGTTACTGCATTGTTTGTTAACAAAAAGAGATGTCACAATCTATTTCTTGATTGCTCCAAGTTAATAATAAATTCATTTTTGTGTGGCATAAATGATGTGTATGGAATGTGTGTTGATTAGTGTGCAATAAAGATCTTACTACCATTTGTTTGGAGGATCTGCAGATTATGCATCTGCCCCATGTCCATGCTAGTAGATGTTTGTCAAAGCATGCATTATTATTTCTGTCTATCTGGATGTCTTACCTTTTCAGTCTGTCTGCATGAATAAGGTTGAGTTAGGACTCAAAGTAAGCACTTTGGAAAGTGAACAGTTCTGCGGTTTGCTATTTACCTCATTTTGATGATAGGTAATGAAGGATTCACTACCAAAAGAGATTATATCTATCAGACAAGTAATTGTGATATACGTGAATCTTCTTTTAGAAACATAAAGTATCAACTGGATTTGATTTAGTAATTACTGTTTGTTTTTGGTCTTAATCGGCATCTATACAGTGCATTTTTTAAAAGTTGTTTAAAGGATAAGGCTTTGCTAGTAATTAAAATAGAAAAATAAGTAGTAGCACCAAGTGTAAGGCATTTGGTTCTGTCAATCTCTAAATAAGAAAAACTTTTCAGTTACTTCTTGAACCCGTTTGGTGACCTGCACAGTTCTTTTTCACTTGAAAAATCGTAACACAGCATTCCCTTAAACTTGAAATAAACTTTTCATAACTAGAATTTTACTGTCCTCTTTTTTTCTTTGTTTTTTTTTTCAGTTTTTTATGCCTGCATGTATGTGTATTGCCTTTTAATAATAAGGGTTTGAGAGTGATGCCTACCAGATAGAGAAGTGTGAACTGTAGAAGCAAAAGGAAATAGATGTTCTTAATCTTCCCATCAAGAAGCCTTATGCGGCAGGCATATTTCCATGAGAGCCAGGAACCCTCACAGCAGCCTCTGTGAATTGTGCGTCAGGGCAGTTTTTACAACCGTGTTGACAGGAAGCTTCAGTAGCTACTAACTCAGGTGATCCGTATGTGAGCCCTAAAGCTAGAGATGAAATAGGTGTAAATGGTGGTATTTCGCTTTCCTACCCTCTTCAAGGACACTTTGGCGGGGGGCGGGGGGAGAAGTCCCAGAGACTCAGTTCACATCCTGACTGATGGAATTAGCATCTTTGCTCAGCAGTACGGAACTTGAGCTGCCCTTACCGTCTTCCAGACACATGCACACAGAGGTACTCACTCCCCATGAGAACAGATGAGGTTCTCCAAACCATTTGTCAGAACCGTTCTGCTCCTGAACCTGGCCTTTCCTACCTTTGCCTGGCTTGGCAGTGGCTACTAATCCTATTGTAGAGAAAGAAAAACCAACTCTAATATTTGTGGGTAATTTTATAATCCTTTTTTAATCTCATTTTGATCAGTTAGTGTCCTGAACCACCTTTTTAATGTGCTTTTTCTCTGAAACCATTCTTGGATAATTAATTAGCGATGTCCTTGTTAAAATCCAGTTGATGTATAAAGAGGTATAATTTAGGTGAGTATCAAAATAATAAAATTTGAAAATACCCATTATTGGTTTTTTGAAACATTTTCTCCACTAAGTTTTGCCCAGAAGAAAATAAAATTGTAGCCGTTAAGTGCATTAGTCCTGAAAATATTACTTAGCTTTTCCCCACTGCTAGTTGGATGCTGTAACAGTGGTAAGAAAAGCAACTGTAGACCAGATCTCCTCTCTGAATCAATTCTGGCAATACTTAAAATGGATACTTATTCTCAGATAAGCAGTTGAAGGTTTGCCTGAATAAGAAGTGCAGACGCAGACCCTTCATGTTTAAAAATTCCTCGTAAACCTTCAGGATAAATCTTTGAACACACTTCTCAAAAATGAGCCAACTGGCTATAAGCCTCTTAAATGTACCTTGAGAAAGGTGTTTAAAAATTCGGTCAAACTTTTGGAGGAATTAAAAACAGGTGATGGTAGAGAAAAAACGTTCAGACTGAGAGGTCACTGACAAAAGTTTTACCACACTGTTTTTTGTCATGTAGGTGTGACAATTTGTAAATTTGTGCTTTTGATGTACCAAATATTTTCAGAAAGACTGAAGGAGGAGACCAAAAAGCAAAGTTAACATTTCAAAATAAAGCAAGCGTTGATAGCTGTCTGTAAAATGAAATCTATTTTAAACCACCACAACCCCCATTCTGGGGTAGTAAAGCTGTCATTGTTGTGCAGGAAATCTTTCGTTAGTTAGTTTAGTGTTACCAGGAGCATGCAGTAAGGGATTGGTTAATGAGATCTGTGTGTAAAGGGAAAAAAAGAGGTGATTTTCTTTTTTCTGTACATTCCTGAGAGTAAAGTTAAGTGAAGGTCATGTCATGGGCATGGAAGAAAAAGGGACTCAAAGCCTAGTAGAAAAATTAAAGGAGACTGATTTCCCTTGGTTATTTAAGGAGATAGGAGGAATTTGTTTAACACACACTGCAGTGATGGTCACTTGCATGTACTTGCTCATGAGCTTGTGACCAAACCAGGTATTAAATAGGGGAAATACAATGATTTTCGTGTTGCTATGGTAGTTTTCCTCTGTTTGGTGCTGAATGAGGTCACTTCTCATTACGAAGATGTTATGTGCCTGCACTGGCCTTAATGCTAAGATTTCTGACAAGGGCACTTCTTGCTCTTGTTTTAATGAAATATGCTTCACTGTAAATGGAGTGGGAACCATGTCATGCTGCTGTGAAAGCCAATTGAGACCTTCAGTTGCAACTAGAAATGTATACCAAAATATTTACTATGTCTGCTAGTTCCTTTCTTATTTTAGAGTAATGATGTTAATAACTAAGATGAAAACATCAACAATGGCAATTTAACAGCCATGGATTTAATAAAGTGGTAAATTAAAGTGTCTTTTCCTGCTATTTTGTGAAGATTATTCTTTTGGAGTTATTTGGAGTCTTTTGGAGTTATTATATGTGTAATGTCAGAATGCTATTCACTACCCATGGCCTAGAAATATTAATGTGTAAAGAATGTATTTCCCTGGTATGGTTGCATTACTGGTTTTATTTAATTCAGATAAATTTTGTATTTTTAGATATGTGCAATTCTTAAGTGGCCTTCTATCTGGATCTGTGAAAATGAATGCAACCCCTCTTTTCCTGCACTATGTTATCCTTCATGGCATCCCAAGCTTCGATTCTGGGGGAGGTAAATTACCTAACTTTTCCTATCCAAGTGTGGGCTCAAAGTCTTGTTTCATTTTGGAGCTTTCTGGAAAGCCTGCATGAATCTCAAAGTAGAGTTGATGCTCCTTGATATCCAAATGTTCCCAATAAAAGAGCGAGGAGAAGAGAAATATCCTAAGAGTAAAAATTGCAGCAGGTAAAATAAAATTCTTGTCCTTTGTTAAATGAAGAGTTAATGCTATTCATGTCTGCCTAGTTTCCGAACAGTTGTGATCCCAGTCCCTGCAAAAGAGATGAGAACCTTGTCAGGTATCACAGTCATTTCTTCCTTGTTTAGGAAACAAACATAATCATAAATATAATCTCATTTCTGTTCTGAGATTGGATTTTCTGTAGAAAAGCCATTTGGATATGGTATGCTTCTAAGGTGGCCTGCTATAATGAGTGGCTTTAAAATTAAAATGCTAAACCAAGATATTGTGCTAGAGCATAGTAAAGGAGTATAACTCAGTATTTTTATCATCTGAGAGTTAAATAGCACCTGTCTTTTAAAACGTCAGCATGAATTTACAGTGCTCCGTTGTTATTGTTGTTTAGTCTCTTTAGTCTGGTTTTATTTCTAAAATAACTATTTCAATAAAGACAGGGTATTGTTTGTTGTAGTAAGAAATTTAAGGGACTTACTAGTTTTGAAACAAAACTGTAGATCAAATATTTTGTTTAATTTTGAAAATGCTTTTTATTTTGTTTTGGGATTTGGTTTTGGGTTTTTTTGTTTTGTTTTGGTCATTCTCTTTCTTCCCTTAATAATTTTTTTTTCCCTGCAGAAAAAGTGGGAAGAAAGGCAGACAGACATTTAATAAGGAACAAAGTGTTCCCTCTCTTTACTTACTGGAATCCTTTCAAATCCTCTCCCATTTTCCCCCCATTTTTGGGGGGAAAATTAATCTGTCAAAGCCAATTTTGCTTTGAAGGATATTTTGACAGCATTGTGCCACTTGTGTGCCACTTTACTCAGCCTGGATGTGCATGAAGCATCCTAGTTGTAATATTCAGATAAAGGAAAATAATTACGAAACAGTCTTGTCTTTTCAGCTTGCCGGCCTTTTCTGAAGTTATACCAGGCTATGCAACCAGTTTATACATCTGGAATATAGTAAGTCGTAAGCATTTTCCTTTATGTTTGAATCCAGGTATTAATTCTCATAACTGCAGAATTAAATAGTCTTTTTTCTTTTTTTTTTTTTTTAATTTCTTTAAACCATAAATTTTATTTGTCTTTTCTCTCCTGTTAAGTAGCATAGGGCCAGAAAATCAAAGCCGAATCTGCATTGCTATAGACCCTGCCCAGCTTTTGAAGGGAGATATTATGGTAAGTTAATTGTATGGAATGAAAGTCTAGTACTGTGCCATTTAGTTTACAGTTTCTGACCTCTTTTGTGTTCTTGTAAAAAAATAAATTGAGCAAATGGTTGCAGGCATACTACAAAATAGGTTATTAAGTTAATTTAGTCATCATCCTTGAGTTTTATAAGAATCAAAATTCCTATAAAACTCAAACTAGAACTTTTTCAGGAACCAAAACAGTTGCTCTCAGCATTCCCATTTCACAGCATCACCAAGTGCAGTAAGGCCTGTCTTGCCATTTTCTTTTTAAAATTTGCTTGGGGAGTGTTTGTAACTCGGCATTAAAATAGCCTTGTCCTGTAACTTGGCAACATGCACAATCGTAAAACTACATGCTGTAAAGAAAATACCTAACCTGTTCTAAATTTTTTTGGGACTCAAAAAGTTGTGATACCAAATAAAAGTTTTCTCATTCTACAAGTGCATGCAGTATCTAGAAAGAAACTTATACGCACTAATATAGTGCATGTAATTCCCTGTGTACAAAGCATAACTATGGTTGAGTTGCAGCACTATCATTTTAAATCTCTGCTTTCTCTCTTCTTGTTGTACACAGTTATGCACAAAGAAAGTAAAGAAAGATAGTTGCTGTGCCTTTCAGTTTGTTAAACTAAGAGGACAGAAGAACACGTGGAATGAATGGTGGGGGGACGTATTGTCAGAAAGTATTCCTGGTCTGTTGCTGGTAGATTTCAGAATGTTTTTTTATTTTGTGTACCACTTTGAGAAATGTTGGACTTCAGTGTAAGGGGTCATTGGTATCAGATTCTTTTTTTTTTTTTTCCTTTTTTTTTGCCTTTTGAAAGAATCTTCTTTATTATCCTTCCTCCCTCTTCCTTTCCTACTTTCCCTCCCTATTCAGTTTATTATGTTATTCTTTCTTTCTTTCACTGAAAAATGGAGAAGCAATTTTTAAATATACTGTTATAAATCAGTATACTCTGGAGGTTTGGAACAGTTTCAAATTCAGGAAGATTTATTACTTATCGGAGGACTGTTGGTGCCTAAGAAAATGGACTAGATCACAAACGAAAGCAGTCCGAGTCAAATTCAGTATCTCTCAAATGTGTATTTAAAATTAATAATGAGCACATAGCTTTTCAGTAATGCTTGTATTATTTTAAAAGAGATCAACTGCATTAATCCCATGCTATTATCAGAGGTAATTCTTCTGAGCAAGCCAGCATCTTATTCACCGTGGTAGTATTTCCTAAACAAAGACTTCACTTCAGTTTTCAATTTATTTTTTTTACTATATCTACACAAAAACATCAGTGTTTCAGGAAAAAAAAAAAGAGAGAGAGAGAGACTTGCTTGTCTTAGGTTTAGAGAATTTCTTTGCGCAATGTCAATAGTATATGGTGATAACAGCACAGCCACAGCTTTTGAAAATCTGCGCTGACATCTGTAAATGCATATAGGTATGTCCCAGCATATTACAGTGGCTTGCATTAATTCTTGAATATGGCGTCAGAAGGTAGTGGAGTCAGAATTCAAAGTTAAGCTTAGACTTCATTGACAGCTTATTAGAATTATTAATAATTATATATTATTATACTGAGCACTAAAAGTTGTTTTCAGTATCCTGGGAATAGATTTACACTGTTACTGATTGTAAGAGAGGCCATATTTTCATAAACAATTACAATTCTATATAAGTAAGTTGTTTAGGATATGCTAAGTTAAAATTACAAGGCTGTTACTTTGAATTAGGAAGTAGAAAGAAGCAGGAACTACGTAGTTCTCTGAACTGACCCAGATTCAGTGTTTTTATAAACATGATTATGCAAAAGACAGTAGATTCTGAGTAAATCCAGCCACTGTGTGAAGCCAAAACTCTTGACAAGTTGGATAAAACGTATTGTTCAGGTATTTAGTCTTCTGCATCTTCAGAAACTCTCATGTATTATCTACATGTAAAAATAATGTGATGGTTTAAACAGCTAAAGAAGTTAATGTTTTAACACAAAATTGTGGAGGAATGTATATAACCTTGAAGAAGCTCTTAAGTCTTTTCAAGCTTCTTTTTGCTCACATAATATAATTAAATAGAATTATCACAGTTACTTTCAGGCCAGTTATATGTTTTGAAGCAGGTTAGTTCTTTCTAATATCTCTCATCAAGGGGCTCTCTTAGTCCCCTTTCTGTCCATTTTTCACTTCTGGGCAAACTTGCAGTTTTCATTCTTTGATGATGGTGTTTTGCCTTTACATAAAGTTGCTGAGCATAGTGGAGAATGAGTGTTTGTTTATTCTTGAATCAAGCAGTGTAACTGTTTCTCCTACCTTATATTTCGGTAATTTAAGGGGCTGACTTATGGCCATGGTTCTAGCGAAATGATGCTGGTAGTTGTGTTGGACTAAAAGGAAATAGATCCCTTCAACAGGTAGGGGTTTGTACACTATGTTAATTTTAGTGGGTGTTTAAAATAGGAAGCAAATACTATTTTACCTGGTATTACCACTGTGCTCCAGGGGATTCTCTTTTAAAAAACAAACAAACACACAACCCCAAATCCTCACTTTCAGATAAAATAATGCTTACTTGCATAGAGAATCTCCCAGCATTCATGAAGTGTTAGGAATATATGGTTTGCATAGAGAATACCTGAAAAAAAAAACATTTCTAGTATATGGGCTGAAATATTTCAGAAGTTGTCCTGTGTGCCATGTATATGGTCAGCGCTGATTAACTTCTGGAATTTAGGGCATCACGAGGTTACTATAGTGAAGGATAGAGAGCAGCAGCTTATGTTAGATTTTTCAAATCCTGTAGTGAGAAGAATTTTATAACTATGTTTTAATCCCAGCTTTTAGAAGCATCCCTCCTTAAAGCCCTTCCTCTTTCTTGTATTACTTCAGTTTGAATAAATGTTTGCTCTTCAGTTATTCAGTATTTTCTGTCTAGAATGCTTTTCTCAGTCTGCCTTAAAAAAGGTGATTTTTGTTGTCTTTTTAATGCATTTCAGTAACATCTGCTTTATCATAAAATCCTGATATCATCAGGATAATAGAATAAAATTTTCAGTCCTGTGACTAAGGTTACCAAAATTTTTATGTATTCCTGTAAGAATGCTGAGTGGCTTTGTATTACAGTTGACTCGGAGAATTAGTAGGTAAAGTATCCATAGGTCTAGTCTAAGGGAAAGTGGTGTTAGAGAGTAGGTGTATTGTGTTCACCTGCTGAAATAAATTCATACTAGGTGTTATTTTTACAGAGTTCTGTGTTATTCTAGCCAAGGTGTCAAAACTACTACCAACTTCCCACAGTAACATAAAACAAGATCCAATCAACACTAGCCTAGGTTTTTAAAAAGTCCTAAAATGGATGTAATCAGCTTGCAGGCTTGTTTCTAAAAACTGCATATTCTTCAGTTATTTTGAAATGGGTGTGCTATAATTCAGTTTTGTGTTAATTTGGTAGTGTGAAGAACTATGGATACAAGTCAGCATTCCAACATTGTACTGACAAATGTTGTGATTCTGAATCATAATCTACTGATTGGTGACTGATAGTGATGAAAATAATTATTATTATTTTTACACATCCAGAAATATCTTGCCTCTGGCCTGTATAATTTTAAAGGATTGAATAACACATACCCTGCATGTTACAACATCAGAGGTGTCTGCAGTAAATTGTGCTGTGGCTGCTTTACTTAGCAACTACTGCATACACACACGTTTCTTCAGATTTGTAAGAAATTACTTCCTGACATGTTTCTGTCTCTCTCCTTCTAGCTGAAGTGTTATCACAAAAAATACCGGTCAGCTACTCGTGATGTGGTTTTTCGCCTTCAGTTTCACACTGGAGCTATTCAAGGACATGGTCTGGTGTTTGGCAAAGAAGATTTGGATAATGCCAACAAAGGTACTTGCCTTCTGAGGTTGGTTGGATGCGTATGTGTGTGGGGGTGCATGTGTGTGCCTGTGCATGTGATGATCATCTTCAAGACCTGTTTTTAAAAGGATTCTTGGGGTTTTTTCCATCTCTGTTTTTAGGGAAAGGGATACTGCTTTGTGTTAGTTAACTCGTAGCATGTAATACAGGTAAACCCCTACTGAGAAGAAAAGCTCTTCAAGTGAGTTAACTTGTCAAAATAATTCAGATACTTCTACATAGTCCTTATTGTCTCCTCTCACATTTGTAAAAACAACAGATGTTTGTTTAAAATGGTGACTCTGTTAGTCACCATTACAGGAAAGAAGATGAGCTAAGCCGATACCTTTTTTGGCCAATGAAAACAGTCACAAAGTCTGATACTGTGTTTCTGACCTAGTCTGCTTGAGTATGGAGATCTTTTAATATGCTTCGGAATATCCAAAAATGGAGGCAAAGTTTTGAAACACATTTGAAAATGTGTTGTGCTAGCCTTTGTATTTTCCAGATTATTACTTTGGTTTTATTTTTATGTTTGTATGCAGGATTGTAACTTCATCACCCTATGTTACTAGCAAACTAAAACCAACCATATTTTCCTGCAACATACGGCTACACAAAAGTTTTGTGGTCAAGTGTTGCAGTTTAGCCAATATAGAGAACAATTTTAGTTTGCTTCTGGGTGTGTTTTCCTTTAAAAGCCAAAGCCAGCCATGTCTGTCTAGAGAGAGGTCTGGGAACTGTACATCTCTTCTGCTTTTGACTGTTTTTGGAAGTAAACAAAACTCCAACTGACACTTATGTGGTCTTTTCTGGAGGATGTGTGGGGCACAGAATGTTACTCTTTTAGAAGCAAATCACTAAACTGCAAGTGAGAAGGGAAGAGTGACGAGGGTACGTGTATTAATAGCTATAGAGAATCCTGATTTCTGAGTGCCTTGGAACTGCTTTCCTGGGAGATAGCTTGTTGAAATACTATCCTTTGTTTTCAGATGACCGTTTCCCTGATTACGGCAAAGTGGAATTAGTGTTTTCAGGAACTCCAGAGAAAATTCAAGGTGAGTATACGGAAGAAAATATGTGCTTAGTTTGAAGGAAAAAAAAAAATTAAAATATATATTTAAAAAAAAAATCCTTTTTTCCCTCTCTTATTCCTCTTGTAGAAGATTGGAAATTCAACTTTACTGCTAAAGTATGTAATATAGTTACTAGTTTAAATTTGAAAAATTGAATGAAGACTCTGCATTTACATCAGCATAGGAATGATCAGATTTTGTTTTAAAACTGTACCAGAACAGTTGCTGATGACTAGTAGAAAACATTTGCATATCTGTGTAAAACATGCATAGTATAGGTAGCTTGGCCCAGCATAAGTGACAGCAGTGGCCTATCCCATAACCGTTTTTGGATGTTGTCATAACTGATTATGTTTGCAGTGGTAAAGTTTGGACTGTCTTCAGTTTAGCATAAAGAGATACAGCTATAGTTTTGCATCTGCTCTGAAGTTGGCCTGTAGGATATATCCTGTATGCCTCCAGAATTCTACTGTAATATGTCTAAGATCATAGATAATTATGACCTGCAATAAGAACTTAAGATCATGCTTTATATTGGAGTTTAATTCTGTTCATGGATGTGTTCTTACTCATTCTGTGGTGTCCCAAAAAGTATGGATTCTGCCTGAGACTGAATGAAACCCAAATATTCTTAACTGTCTGTCTCATACATATTCCCATTCAGTGTCCTGTGAATTGCATTTTTTCCTTTTCTATTTTTTTTTCCACCAGTTTGATCACTTAGAAACTTGTAGTAGCAGCCAGTAAGAAGTTGGATTCTGTCCAGCTGAACACAAAGATCTCAGCCTGTTGGAAAGTCATATAAGAAAAACAGTTTTATAAATAAATTTGTCCAGCTTGTTCTAAACATTTCTGGATAGTAAATGCTTGAAGAGAGGTCAGTTGATGTGTCTGAAAAAGAATCAAAATTTTTTCAAGTCTCCCTTCCTTAGATGGCAAGTCAGAGGTGTGGTTTTTAGCGCACTCCAAGTTGTTGGAAAGTAACGTTCTAAGTAGTTGGAAATTTGTATTCAATTGCTATCTAAGGGATTAACTGGCTAGGAAGAAGAGTTCACCTTGAAATACTTATTTACAATTCCTGCAAAATGACTTTTCCACAGCTGAAAATATTACAGAATCATAGAGTAACTGCAGGGTATCGCTAGTCCATCCTCCTGCTGA